GGAAGGTTTAAGAGTCAAACATTTGCATTAGGTCAGATATTACAGGCAGCCTTCTGCTTCAGCTGTGAGAGGTCCAAGAGCAGAGACCCTAGATGTCAAATAACCCTCGGGTGGCAAGGAGCGGTGGCTGGCCTGCAGGCTGTCCATTCAGGCTTAGGGCTGAGGTGTGAACCAGGCATACCTGTAGGTTCAGAGGACCCACCTTGATAAATGGGGCACCTGAGTCCTAGTCACTGAGGGAGGTTCAGACAGGAATGCAGACCTGGACAGAGATTGAGCCGCTGCAAGAGTGATTCATCAGATTAGGCAGTAAGGACAGAGCTAACATTTGGTCCTACGGACCAGCCACTATAGTGTGGGAACCCTGAGGGAACACGGAATTATCCCTGGGTCTGAAAAACTACTCAAGAACAATGTGGGGACCCAGGTGTCCTCACAGAGCCCCTGGCTCCCTATGTGTTTTATAAAGATTTGTCTCAATTCTAGATTTCCCTGGCTTGTAGTTCTTATGCTCTTTGTATCTCTCTGCCTTAGTTTGGGAGAGCTCAAGGGCTGGACCATGAAACTAGCTGTGAGACACTGTGGAGGAGAGATGAGAGGAAAAAAGGAATTGAGTGCCACCCTCCTTTTATGTAGGGTCTTCACATTGTCATTTGTTACATGCTTTGAAAGGCATCTCTGAAAAGGAGCAAAGGAGTTCTCTTGGAAGCCCAAGCAGTGCAATCCTGAATCCCGCACCAGCTCAATGATGAGACTATTTGTGCTCACCTACAATGCCATTAGTTTGTTCTAGCCCTGAATGTCTTTGTTGCTTTAAAAGAGAAAGAAAGAAAAATATATACCTGGGTTTTCCAGCTTTGGAAAATTGAATGCAAACTGTGATCCTGGCTGGAGATGACGTACTGCATAGAAATGATGCAGAACAGTGATGGTTAGCTCAGTGCCACCCGGGAAGTTAATGCCTATTTCACATGGGTTAAAAATGAGATGAATTCGGGATTATGGTTCATCATGAGTGCTGGGGAATAAAATGAAATGTAATTCTCACAAGGCATTTTTCTCACCTTTTAATTTGCCCTTTTCTATACCAATCCCCCTTACCTCCAATTGAGATTTGCATCTATTGGAAATAAGCCCTATTTACCCCCTTTCCAGACATAATCTCATTTCACTGTTACACAAACCTAATTTTTAGGAACTTCTAGAAGGTTTCACCATATTGAATGATGTAAAACTCGTGTCAGGTGCTGTTGGCCCTGGGACATGGGTTGTATGATCACACATTCTTGCTTCCTGGGCCCCCAGCACCAGGGGAAAGCATCTGACTCAGTGGCCCAGTGGCCCAGAATCTCAGGAAGTACTGAGTATTCTGTAAGGGGTGAGTTCACAACCAACAAACAGTATTCTCTAAGGAGCACTTCTCAGTGCCTCTTGTGGTCCTTGAATGGGAAAGGTATTCACACTGGAGTTGCTAGTTAGCCAAACTGAAGTCCTCTACCTGCCCTCTGGTGAGTAGGGAGTCTTCATTTCGGTTGGTGGGAACAGAGAGTGTTCTGGGCCGTGTGAACCCTGGTGATGATTCATTCCAGTCCTTTGGATGGTTTCTCTCCTGGGTCTTGGGTAGCTCCCTCCCTTGCTTACGGTACTCTGAAGCTTCAAGGGGGACTCTCCACAGAGCCACCCAGCTCTCTCTGTGTGCAGCCTTCTCTCTGGTATTCTGCCTGGTGACCTTCAGTTGCTCAGGCCTCCCCAGCTTCCCAGCTCTTTTCTGTTCCATTCCGGGAGACCACCTTTCTGGGCTTCCCCCTCTGCCATGGCCTGGAGGTCCGCTCCAGGAAGGAAGCTAGAGTGCTCACAGGGCTCCCCGTTTATTTCCATCTTTCAGGGATCCCTGCCCTTCGTTGCCTCATGTCCAGTGCCTTGAATACCATTGTCTCATTTATGGGGTCTGTATTTTTCAGTTGTGTCAGGCATGAAATCCAGTCCTGGTTACTTTCTCTTGGCTGGAAGCAAAATCCCTCCAGGGCTATTTTAAGGTCATTTAAGCTTGTTGCCAGCACTCGCTTTTTGAGGCCTCGCTCCATATGGTGGTAAACATATGAAGAGTAATCCACATCTGGCAGTAAAGTTTTATTTTGGGACAAAATGAGAAGATATTTATCACTTTTCTCTTGAACTTGTTCCCCTGAGTCACCCATTTACAGTTATCTGTAGTTTCTCTGTGAAGGAATTTTTAGAATTAAGAAAATTTCACCTATAAATCATTTTTAAATTGTTATGAACACTAAATTGAGTAATTAATGAAGCTGCAACAATAGTACATTCTTATGCATACACTTACATATTTATTCATTTGGTTTTGGGTAGATTTGGTGCCCTTTTTTGTTCATTTCTTATATATTTTCATGGACACTTAAATAGCCCACAGGCCCTCAGAATTGGGTCTTTAGTACCTAATGGATAAAAAAGCCCTGCTTTCTTCTGGTGTTCAGAGTCCACTTATCCTAACTTTACTGTTACCCCAGTCGTGGTCTCTGAGCTTGAGTTGTTCTTTGTTTCCCCACGTGCCAATAAGGCACTTCAACAATTCCCAGATTCCCCTGTCAGTTACTGAGCAGGAATAGGTTTGTCCCTTTGAGCAAACCCTTGGGCTCCATTCCAGGCAAAGCAAGCTCTCCAGCGGCTCAAAGTGCTCATGTCCTGGGGTTCTGCTTTCAATCCTCCTATCACCCCCCCTGCTCCCCAGCCCCTGGAGGGCAATGTCTGGAAACATTTTGAGTTGTCACAGCTTGGGGAAGGGGGTAGATGCCAGGGATGTAACTAAACATCCAACAGTGCTCAGCACATAACAAGGAATTTTGGTGCCCACAGTTTCACAGTGATGAGGTTGGAAAACACTGTCCTACATCATGCTAGGCAGGCATGAGTAGCCCCTCTCACCTCCCACAGCGTCAGGGAGAACATCTGGGGAGGCTGGGTTCTCATCCCCACCAGGCAGGAATGAGGGACCCTTATTCCCTGCTCACTGGGGTCCTAATGCAAAGGCAGAAGTTCACCGCTGCCTGGCAGTAACAAGGCCATCTTGCCACAGTGTCAGTGGAGGCCACGTGGGGAGCGGTAAAGAGGTACCGCTCCCCCTCCCAGCCAGGTGGCATCAGGAGGCCTGCTGGGGAGGCTGAACTCTACCGATGCCCAGCAAAAGTGCTCTTCCCCAGCCAGGTAGCTTCAGAGGCCAGCGAACCTGGACTTCTGCCTTCATACAGCATTAATGAGGTGATATTCCCCATATTGATACATGCCTGATTCTCCATACACATACAAAAAGCTGGATTATATTTTGGACCAGAGAAGATAAAGGAGAATTTTATATAGTACCTCAAAGCTTGTCCTGTATTCTCCATCTTGGTGCTGTGTTTCATAATTGTTATGGAGAAGTCATCTAAAATACTAGGTGTCTGATGCCTTCATTTTATTGGTGCCCCTGCCTACTTTGAGGTGATTAAAATGTTCAGATACATGGCACTGTATTTAGTTGATGCTAGCAGGAGGACTTATCTAAATCATAAACACTAAGTAAATTCTGAGACATTTGGGTTAAGTAAAGGTAAAATGAAAACAGTACATGGTTGCCAAATCAACTCAGTGTGTGTTCTACATATGGGTTTCTTTCTAATTGTAAAAAAAATAGTTCTTCTAAATTCCAAAATGGACTGGTGAAATAACAGATTTATTATGTCTACTATTTTATAACAGCTGACAACCAATTTTAATTGAAAAAACTAAGTTGCCTAAAACCTAATTTAAGCACTGTGATTGGTATGGCCTTAATATTGCACACAATGTTAAATCTGATCAGAGAAAGTTTTCATTGAGAAGTAAGAAATTGGTATCTCAAAAAGAGAAGAAATGTACTTTAAAGTTTCATTCTGGAAAAGATAGGGAAGGTCTTAGTTAAAGTAGAATCAAGTTTAAAAAAATTAACATTAATTAATGACCTTTAAGACAAGTGCAGTTGGCCACTCACAAGGACTAGTGTCACTGGTCCCTTCATAGCACAATGCATAGGAACTATTGGGAAGCATGACATAGAAACAGACCAGGCAAAAAATGATAACTCTCAAGAGCAGATACCTGAAACATGTTAAGTATTGCTTTGGGTAGAGAATAAAAGGTGTAATGGAAATTCTTTCTACCTGGCCTTGGAAGTTTTGTTAAAGTCCAAAATCTACTTTGTTGTCATTGTTGTTTTTAAGAACAACCAAAACTAACTATCTCCTGAAACAACAATATTTTCAATTCAAAATAGGACAAAAATGTTCTAACAAATACTTTAAATCTGTTGCTGCTGAGCTACTCCACTCCTGTGAGTTAAGAGAACATATTATGGTATCAGTGTTTTGTGTTTGGGATGGAAACACACACACATGCACACACACGACTGAGTCAACCCAGGGCGAGGCATCAGTGACATATTAATCCAGAGTAGTTAATAGCCGTGTAGTCAAGGGAGCCAGGATAAAAACTGGTCAAGAAAGTCAGAGGTTGACACCTTCATGTACTGCATGTCGGCTCCAAAGGGAGACGCAAGAGCAGAGGTAAACAGGTTCTAGGTTGCAACTGGGGGGATTGGATGCAGATAGAGGAGATCCATGTAGGATGGACAAGAGCAAATGTTTTGTAGCAGAAACTATGTTTCATGGCACAAAGGCAATCTTCTGGGTTAATGCACTGTGCAGGGCTGGGCAATTACAGTTCTGCTCGCTACAGCTGTGTGCACAGGGGCTCCTGACCTGGTCACATAGGCTCTAAGACTGTTGATGGCTGATACATATTTTCTTTTCCTGGAAATGATTGCTAGCCTGACTTGACTGTGTAGATCACTGTTTTGCACTGTCTGTACACAGCTTGCTTATCTAGAGGGTAGCTGATATTTTTATGTAAATACCTAAGAGACTGATAAATATATGATTCTTATACCATGCTACCTATTTCTCTTTCAGCCTGGACAGTTTCAGATGGTATAGCCTTGCTCCATGGTGTAAGCAATGGCTGTAGGAAACAACACTCAACGAAGCTATTCCATCATTCCGTGCTTTATATTTGTTGAGGTATGTGTATTTTTTCTTTATGAACAAATTGGAATAATAGTAGCAGTTTTAGTGCTGAGAACTTTATTTTGTAAAATTATTTAATCTTATGATTGACAATTAAAGTTTAATATCTCTAATATTAGTGAAGAATAAATCATACAAAGTGTTTCTTAAATAGGAAACCATAGAATAAGAAGGTTCATCTATGGGGCACAGTATAAGTGTCATTTATTTTCAGGAATGACTTGAATGAATTATTAATTATAAATGCAGCATTTTAATTAAACTTTTTAAAAAATCAATATGTTTCAGGATTCAATAAGTCAGGCAGTTAACAGATGATGTCAGTTGATGGTCTTTTGCCTTGGAACCCAAATAAAGGGAAAAAAATTTAGAATTGATTACCTCCAATGGCATTTTTTGTTAGTGGAGTATTGACAGCTTATATAATGTGCAATTTCTTTGGTCATGAATGATTTTGTTGAGTTGCTCCAGCTTTATACCAGCAAACAGTGTTTCCAGCATCTTTTTGGTTAAACTTCTTGCACTCCTTTCCCACTGTACCTCCCTGTCTTAATGTTTGCTGTAGAAGAGACAAAGACATAGAAATTTTAGGTAATTTGAAATCATATGGTGCAAAAAAAACCTACAACAGTTTATCTCAAAATAAGATGTTGATTCACTAGAGGGGGTGATATTTCTGATATCTCAAAGAAACAGGGCATCTGACAGAATGATTTTCATCCTAATAATTGGGTTTAAAATATGACAAAGAGCTGAAGAATTAGTTTCCAGAATTTTCTTTCTGTGTAAGTACCTGGAAAGTTTCCAGAATTTTCTTTCTGTGTAATTGTGTGGATAACTACCTGTAGCATGTTCTTGTGGAATCTATTTGGCTGAGTGTGCGAGTAACATGCATATTGATCCATTTTATTACCCATGTGACAACAGACACACACTTAGGTTAAACCAGTACTTCTATTAGCAAAAATGTACTTTCAGTGCATACGTTGTTTAAATACAGTCTATGAATCAGCGCAACATATATTTTTATCTTCTGCCTCTTGAAATAACTTCAGCTTTCTACATAGCTAGATAATCTTGAGCATTCTGATTTTTGTCCAGGAAGTATATGTGTTTGGCTGATCCTTGAGTTTCACCTTATGGACATCTCTTGGTGTAGTTCAAATGATCAAATATTACTTGATGACTTATTTTCTGGTGATGTTTGTGAACCTCACCAGATAGGAGATTAGGTTGGGACAGAGGTGCTAATTTAAGTCAAAATACTCATAGATTCAAGCTATGCTAAGTTTCTGAAAGGGTAAGAAAAAGAACTCATTTCTCAACATACTCTTAATACTCATTGTAGAAGGCCAAGAATAACTCCAGGCAATAACTATATATTAAGTATATTGTGGGTTCTTGTTACTATTGTTCATTTTGAAATTGTAATGAGGGAAAAGGATTCCTTTCTCCTACCACTCATGGGGGAAAGGGTAGAAGGCTACAGCACACATTTTTCAATGTTACCCTTTCTCCTTCTTATAAGAAAAATTAATTTTTCAAGTAAGCTGGGAAAAATCATGGAATAAGTCATCTGTCATCATCTTTATCCTCCTGGTAGCAATCTTGTTTTAAATTTTCTTAAAAATCGAACAGGAACCAAACCACAAAGTAAGAGATTTAATTTATTGCTGGAAGCTCTATCTCTGAAGATTTCCATCTTTCTAATGTGTGGACGATAAACTTGACTAGTACAGCTCATTACCCATGTGACAACAGACACACTTGGGTTAAACCAGTACTTCTATTAGCAAAAATGTACTTTCAGTGCATACATTGTTTAGACAAAGTCTATAAATCAGCGCAACATATATCTTTATCTTCTACTTCTTGAAATAACTTCAGCTTTCTACATAGTCAGCTAGATAATCTTGAGCATTCTGATTTTTGTCCAGGTAGGGGCAACAAGAGGCATAAATCAGTCTTTCTATGCCTTAAAACTGGCAAAAACATCAATCTAAAAATCTGAGAAAGGAAAGATAGTTTGCTCTTTTTTCTGCTGAATTATTATTCTTTTGCATTGAAGTTTAAGATGTATCAGTGACTCCTCTCAGAAACAGGCAGGAGAAAGAAAAATAGGAAGTGAAATAGAATAAAGTAGAAATTGAGACAGGAGGAGGTGAATCTCAAAGTGGCTCTCATGACTCTCATGTATTTCATTCATCAAACTTATTGTTACACGTACCCCCATGTTCATTGCAGCACTATTTATAATAGCCAAGTTATGGAAACCATCAAGTGTCCATTGGTGCGTGAGTGTCACAGATGCAGAAAATGGGTGGTTCCTGGGGGTAGGGAGTGGGAGAAATGAGTGAAAGGCATTAAAAGGAAGAATTTTTTAATTAGAAAAAAATTTTTAAATGTTGCTTCTGAGATTGGGCATAAAACTTTGAATAAGATCCAATGGGAGGAAAAAACAAATAAAAATAGCATTTATTGTTTATTTACAGTATTCCAGCCATTATAACAGGGATATTAGAAAACTTGGTTAAAAAAACAAAACAAAACTTGGTTACAGTGTCAATTTGATCAATGTATGTATTTTCACTGTTGTTTTTTAATTTTGAAATTTTCAAACAGAAAAAATATAACAGACATCTCTGTACCGGTGGGTATAAGACCAAATCTTAAAATTTTGCTGTATGTGCTTCAAATATTTTCTTCAAGGAAAGTAAAACATTACAGATATGGCTGAATTCCTACTATCCTGGACCTAGGAGTGACTATATATGTTAAGTTAGAGGCTTCATTTCTCTGCATGATTCTGATACATATTTTCATATTTTTCTTACAAGTTTATATATTCATAAATAATATTTAGGGATATTTTGCATAAATTATACCATATTGTACTTTACTTTTGCAACTTGCCTTTTCATTCAACATTATGGTCCTGAGATTTATCCAGACTGGCAATTTATTTTTTCTAATTGTTACATTTTATCCAATTGGGTGAATATACCTGTTGAGGGATAGTTTGGCTGATTCTTTTTTGTTTTCTCTTTACTTTTTTGAAGAAATTATCCTTATTTCTGTGTCCATGTGTTTGTGTGCAACGGCTTCCCATGGATTGATAACTAGCAGAGGAATTGCTGGGGGATGGTTATATTTTCCAGTTGTTTATTGCTGCATTACAGGAACAATATGAAATTTTCATATCAATTTCCTTGAAGAAACTTTGTTAAATTCTGTTAGTTTCATGAGTATGTATGTATATTTCTTAAATTTTTTAAAACATTTACATCATTGCCAAGTGGTAGTTTCTTTTTTAAATAAAAGAAATTTCTTTCTTCTTTTCCAACTTCTATGACTTTAATTTGTTTTTCTTGTCTTGTTGCTGTGACTAAGACCTCAAGTGTAATATTTGATATAGGCACTAGTAGAGGACATCCTTGCCTTGTTGCTGATTTTAAAGGGAATATATAGAGTGCTTCAGCATTAAATTATAAAAATGGACTTTAATTTCTTTTCTTTTTCTGTTCTCTGCTTTCTAGATGAGATTACTTAATTTGTTTTAAAACTACTTTATGTTGTAAATTATACTTTATATTTGTATTCTTTTAAAGCTTACTCTTAAATTTTAAATACATAAACTTAACAAAATGGAGGTTAACCAATATCTCTATGATTCTCTTAAACAATCAATGATCTTAGATCTTTGAATCTTGGGTGTCATTCTTGATTTTTGTATCTTCAAACTTTTCACTAATGTTTTCAGTCAGGGCTTCTTTGAATTTACCCATGTATTCATCAGTTTCTTTGCTTCTCCATTGCTCCTTTTATTTCTTTCTTTCCTTCAGTGTTTAATTTCCTCCTGAAATTTATCTTTTATAGTTCTTTCAGCAAGGGTCTAGTGAGTTGTAAGCATTCTTAATATTATCTGAAGTTTTCTTTATATTACAATTAATCTAGAATGGTGATCTAGTTTGGGACTGAATTTTAGATTGCATAGTTTATATTCTACCCTCAGAACTTCCACAGTGTTAATCCATTACCCTCTCCCCCTTGGCCTTTATTACTGTTTCTGTGAAAATTCTTCTCTTACTACTCTTCTTTACAAATCTACTTTCTCTTCCCAGTTGCTTTTGCATTTTTCTCTTTTTCTTTGTGTCCTGAAGTTTCAGTATAATATATTTAAGCATGAATTTCTACTGGCTAGGACTTGTTTTACATCTTGAATATGAAAAGTCATCTTTGTACCAATTCTGTATAACTCAGCCATTACATCCTCAAATATTCTCTCTCCTTAATTCTCTGTTCTCTTTTTCTATTTATGTTAGATCTTCTCATTCTTTCTATATTCTGTCTTTTACCCTGTCTTTTTTTAAATTTCTAAACATTCTATGTACATTTTTTTAAAACATGCCTATTTTTATAGTATTCTTATCCTTATAGCTTTTATTTCCTTTATATTCTTTCAGATTATTCTATTATCTGAAATTATTAGTATCTCTATCCTTCTGTATGTTGTGTCTACTGTCTGCTCATGATGAATTGTTTGTCTTATTTTTTTGTTACCTTATTTTTAGTGAAGCTTCTTCTGAGGCCTTAAGGCTTAAGAGTATTTGGAGGGATTTTGTATCCCTATTTCTCTTGGCTTAGGTATCTATATTCAGAACCCAAATTTGAACAATTCCAAAGTATACTTAGTCAAAGTTCACCTTCCTTGTAACTTTCCTCTGCCAGCAGGTGGATTTATATAGAACAGTCTTTCTCTGAAGTAAAAAGCAAGGTTTCAGGCATTCTGGCTTTTCCAAAGGAATCTCAGTTCTAACTCAAGTCCTCATGTTCTATCCCTATAGTCATTAAAGCCCAAACCTTGTTACTGAGACGGACATGTACCCTTTCTCTACTCATCTAGGTCCACTATATCATCAGTTTATTTGGTTACCACTCTTATTTTCAGTACTTTTTGATTCAACTCACCTGTGAATTAAAAAAGAAAGAAAAAC